TTTTTTGGCCTAAATTGTGCTCAAATGACTCCATGAAGGGCTGAATAAGACTTTGGCCTGCAGGACTGAATTGACATTTTTGGGTTGCAACAGATCTTTGTAATTTTTAGTGCAGCGTTCACACCTGCTGCCCGAGCATGTATGGTGCCAAAGAAAGGTACTCGCTGGGCATTAATGTGAACACACCCTTTTTTCAAGCACCCACGCTAGAATTCGGGCACGGTGCCGGCGCGAGACCTTGTACTCAGGCATAAACGTGGGCACCAGGTTCCTGTGCACACAATTTTTGAAAGTTCCGGGCAGTCCATTGCTTTGTTCTGGGAGCTAAGCTCATGTTTCAAAATAGCGTCTGACGGGGCGAAATGGAGTAACTACAGGGTGTCCCAAAAGTTCGATCCTCTACTTTATAAGTCTCTATTTCAGTACGATTGAACTTGTTAAGCCAATCAATGAAACAAAAGTTGTGTCTTTCAATCTAATTCACTATTTTCATACTTGTTGTGCCATCTTTTGACTCGAATATTCGATTTGTGTACTCCCGCGCCAAAGGTGCCCTTGGGCGAGTATTTTTTCCAACAACATATTTTTTGTATTTTGTAGCCCGAATTGCTCGAACTCCTTCCTTGTTTTTTGTGAATATCACGAAAGATAAACCCCCTTAACGCAAAAAAGTTCAGCTAGGTGAGAGCATAAGCATGTATACTGTTGTGGTTCAAATTTATCCTTGGTTTAAATTTTATTTTCTTTTGTTTCAAAGTCATTATCATACATTACCATACCCAAAAACAAAAGAAAATAAAATTTAAACCAAGGATAGAATCGCATAATTAAGTAAAATCTCCCATTCTGATTGGTTAACGAAGCGAGATATTTAGTGTGGAATTGCGAGTTGAAAACGAGGCTAAGCGATATTGTTTCGCATCTACGTAACAACTATCGTCAAATTCTAACACAACAACATGCAAAAAAGGTTTTCTACAATGTCATTTTAAAATGTTTTCAAAACCATTCATTGTCACTTTTTGAAGAGTTAAAAACAAATGAAAGCGTTTTTTAAAGTGAGCCGGAGGTTCTTCCTTGTTTTGAACTGAACTACAGATTCTCGAAGAGACATTAAACCTCTTTCACTCGCGGCAACGAAAAAACAAGAAAATCCTGTGAACAGGGCCCAGAAAATGGCAATCCAAAGTTCAGCCAAACAAAACGGAGAAGCGACAACGGAGGAAGTGCCGGGGTCGATTGTCCCATATACAGAAGAAGAAATAAATACCTTCAAAGAGGACATGGCCCCTGAAAACACGAAAAAGAGTACGCCGCCTGCAATCGTCCTGAATCGTGGTACTTAGAAAAGTACAAAACAGAGCTGAACTTGAACAGCATTTCTAAAACGTTTCAAGGTACTTACCTTATGTCAATCGCGACGTTAAACATGTTAAACTTTCAGTGCTTTCCCTTGGACACTTGATTTCTTTCCGTTTTGCCGCCGAAGAGGTAAAAGGTCTAAATTATTTTCCTTCTCGAGCAAATGACCAATTTGAAAAAAGACGTTCTACATAAACGGCTTCTAAATTCAGTAAAATACCTCTATTTATCCTTACGATTAGTGTGAAGCTTGTTTACATGTAAAAAAGTTTGAAAACAAATGTCAAAACAAGCACAAGGTACAAAAAAAGTTGTCGAAGGTTCAAACGTGTACGACTGACCTTGCGTCCTATTCGCTACAGTTCTGACAGTTGACTTTAAAATGGCTTTCTGGAGCGCGCGCTCAGGATAAAAACAAACAATATTATTGCTGTTTTCTTTCTTTTTCTTCTGATTTTTATTCAATTATGCGATTCAAGGAAAATTCATTACCTGACTCGAGAATTCCACGTTAAATTGCACTTGAAAACCGATATCGCACTCATCGCTTCGCGATTCGTGCGATATCGGTTTTCGCGTGCAATTTAACGTGGAATTCCCTTGTCAGGTAATGAATTTTCCTATAAAATTGAACCACAACATATACTTCGATTTACTGGCTTATCTGTTGTAGAAACTGCTAAAAAACTGGAAAAATCCGAATGTTGGGTGGTAAATTAAAATGATCATGGAGAAAAGAAAGTTTTGAAGGCAAAAAACGCAGGGGAAGACCAAAAGTCCTGAAGAAAGCAGCTAAAATAGTTTTTAAGAAGGCTAGATACAAATTAGGAGACTCAATTAATGAGGAAGCTCTCACATAGTCAGAGAGCCAAGTTCAGAAAGGGTTATGAAAAGCTGTTTAAAATGTTGAAAATTAGAGGCCCCTGAGATGGCAAAAAAAAACCTCTGCTTAATTAGTCTGCCAAGTAACGCCCAGCTGGTCTCAAATTTGTAAAGAAGCACAAAAGCCTTGCTGTGGAAGGAGGCCGGGATGATTATCTTTTTTGGATGAATGCCCAACACATATAATATATTTTTTAGCTGCTTAAAATAAACAAATATTGTTTGGGGGTGGACTGGGCATGGCTCCTGCGCACCAGGTGATAAAAAAGCTCAAAATGGATCATCTGTGGGTCTACACACTGTATCCCACTTCACGCCGCAACGGCTACAGAATATGATAAAAAATCAAAAAGCGCATGCCAGTTACTGCAATTCTGAATGCATGTACTACCCAGAGGAATAAAGATTCTTTCCGCGGCAGTACAGCCTTGTTAAACAAACCGCTGACTGCACAGGGCTGCAGTGACATATTTTCCGTTATTTCAAAGCCTATCAACAAACAAAGGATAATAAAAGAAGGATAAAGTTACAACCTCGTTCCCAGGTTTCCTCTCCTTCCCGTCTCTTCATAGAGACGGGTAGGAGAGATTCCTGGGAACGAGCTTGGATAAAATTGAACCACTACATACTCTATATACTATATACTATATATTAGTAAAATCCAACTAGTGGTCTATTATCAATGCTACGTTATGACTGGACTGTTTGCAAATTATTTTTCTCTAAAATTACTTAGCCTTTCCGTCAATGTGCTCTAAAGTTAACTGATTTGTGGAATATAAGTTAACAATTGTTTGATTTAAATTGTAAATTCGAGTTAGAAAGTTAGAAGGAGCTTCGCTTTTAGCCCTGGCTAAATCTATAGAGATTTATCCGCTAGATAGCGCTATCCACCTTTTGATCTGTGTCTACCCTACCCTGTTACGTACGTACCCCCATCTAGTTTCTGTCGCTGGCCAGACCGATCGCAGCTTAAACGCATGCGCCCTCGTTAATGTCGGAGGGGAATTGCCCAATTTCATACCGCGCGGGGGCCTGGCACTACCAGATTTTCCCGGACTTTTTAAGAAGTCCAGTTTCAAAGTGGCGGATAGTCGGAGTAAAACCTCGAACGAAAGCAATCTTTTTCGAAGAAGTATTGATCAATATTCCCTCGGAGAATCTGTCTAAACTTAGTAAGAAAAGGATGCAGTATTTCTGTTCGATGAACAGGTCGCTCGAACCAAACATGATTATAAATTTTCTACAGCAAAGGACCCTCTGTTTAATTCTACCCGCATATGAGAAGTAGAGGATCATTGCAGGAAAGAACACAGATGTGATTGTGCACGTACCGATCGTAGGCTAAGTATGCTGGAGCAAAACGTAAAAGGGCAGTACAGAAGGGCTTACCTGGATTATTCCCGTCGTGGAAAAGAGTAATGTCCGTGAAAGGTACTGAGTGTAGTGAACTTTGTGGCGTTATGTATGTTTAACCTAGTGTTGTTCACATGACGGGAGATAAGGGACTAGTCTATACTCAGTGCATCCAAAAGGTAGATGTACGTGACATTCTTGGTTGTGATTACAAGCTGTTTGCCCAAATTACAGAAACTGCAGTGTTACCGGACGAGAAATGCCTCTCCAGTAAGACTGAAGTATACTTTCTTTTATCCATGTTTAGTGAGAATTGTTTCCGGTCTGATCTTTAGGATTTCTACAAAGACCGTACGCAGCGACGGGGAGAAAATGTAATGTAAGCCTTGCCGACCTAATATACAATGTTGCCCTTTCACTCAGGGTCACTCTGGCGTGTTTTGCTTTTTGGTAGTTTTTATTTTGCGGTTTGTAAAAGTAGGTACATCCACTCCCTTATCATTCCCCAATATTTGGTCTTTTCCAGCGCCGTAAAAAGAGCTAAACTCGACGGTTCTTTGTTCAAATTTTTTGTCGAACAATTCGGGAATCTTTCCAATACTTCCAAGTAGCGAAAGTCTCCGATTAGATCTTTCTTTTCGCAAAATTTTTAATCGAGGTTCTTTATAGCAGTAAAACAACTGTTCTCAGCTTTAGAATATTAACTTTCTGGAGTAATCTGGCCCTTAATATCGTTTCAACTGCACGCAATGACCTTTGTTTTACCTTCTATTTTGGAAGCTATTTTCAATCGGGAATTTAAAAAGTCCGGGAAAATCCGGTAGTGCCAGGCTCCCACGCGGTATGAAATTAGGCAATGCCCGCAAAAAGGACAAGGTACAGTGGAAGTGTAATCGTTTTCGTTCCTCTGCAGAAGATTTTTAGAATATATTAATTCTGGTTTAAAGTGTCAGTGAAATATGTTGTTGTTGTCGAACATCTTTAAAATGCTTGACAAATGCAGTGAATCCATCTGTTTTATTGCTACTGGCGTGACTACATGTAGTTGTTAAATATACAATATATATATTGCACTCAAGAGAATGGTCTTCAAACATAAATTGCTTTAATTTAAACCCAACGCGTTTCGGCTTCTGCCTTCATCTTACGTTTTAAAACAATATTATAGTACATACTACTTTATATATATGAATCAAATGTCTAAAATATTCATAAAGCCATCACTGTACGCTAAAAATTTCTCTCTTGTTTACTTAGTTGAACGATGATTATTCCTAAATAACCAGATGATTATAATTTCCTGTCCTCTGACAGCCAATGAGTTCAGAGCTTGGCTACTGCATTACAGTATACCAGTCTTGAGCGGGATACTACAGTCCTTGTATCTCAACCACCATGTCATGTTCGTGTGGGCTATGTTGCTGGGAGAAGAAATTGACCAAGGGGTCCATGTAGACAAGAGTCAGACGTTGTTG